ACCCCATGGACTGCCGTACACCAGGCTCCCTGTCCTTCACCCTTTACTGGAGATTGCTCAAACTCATGTCCATTGAGTAAATGATGCCATTCAACCATCTTGTCCTTTGTTGAACATTTCTCCTCCTGCCTTCAATCTTTGCCAGCATCAGGGTCTTTTCTAATGAGTTAGCTCTTCTCATCAGGTGGCCAAAGTACTGGAGTTTCAGCTTCAGCATCAGTCCTTCCAATGAACACCCAGGACTGATTTCCTTTAGGATGGACTGGTTGGATCTCCTTGCAGTCCCAGGGACTCTCAAGAGTCTTCTCCAACACCACAGTTTGAAAGCATCAATTCTTCGGTGCTCAGCTTTCTTTATTGTTGAACTCTCACATTCATATATGACTATTGGAAAAACCATAGCTTTGATATATGGACCCTTGTTGGCAAAGTAATGCCAGTACTTTTTAATATGCTGTCTAGGTTTATCATAGCTTTTTTTTCCAAGGAGCAAGCATCTTTTAATTTCAAGGTTGTGGTCCCAATCTGTTGTGATTTTGGAGCCCAAGAAAATAAAGTCTGTCACTGTTTTCATTGTTTCCCCATCTATTTGCCAGGAAGTGATTAGACCAGATGCCATGATCTTAGTTTTCTGAATGTTCAGTTTTAAGCCAACATTTTCACTCTCCTCTTTCACTGTTATCAAGAGGCTCCTTAATTCTTCTTCGCTTTCTGCTCTAAGAGTGGTGTCATCTGCATATCTGAGGTTATTGCTATTTCTCCTGACAATCTTGATTCCAGCTTGTGCTTCATCCAGCCCAGAATTTTCCATGATACTCTGCATGGAAGTTAAATAAATAGGTTGACAACATACAGCCTTCATGTACTCCTTTCCCAATATGGAACCAGTCTGCTCTTAGATTTCCGGTTCTAACTATGGACATGCCCTATATGGCTAAAAATTTAAACTGCCATCAATGTCATTAGAAGTATTGTGTATGATACTTCTAGTCAAATATATTGTCATATTTTATTACATCCTACGTCATGATTCAATTAATTTTTTCTAAGAAACACATTTTGAATTAGTGGTAGAAGTGCCTTTTGTTGTTTAGTTGCTAATTTGGGCTCCCTCATCCATGTCTGACGCTTCTGTACACCCATGAAATGTAACCTGCCAGGCTCCTCTTTCCATGGGATTTTTCAGGCAAGACTACTGGAGTGGGTTACAATTTCCTTCTTTAGGGGATCTTCCTGACTCAGGGATTGAATCCATGTCTCCTGCAATAGCAGGCGGATTCTTTACCGCTGAGCCACCACAAGTGCCCTTTGTTTCCAAATAAAAGCTATAATTTGGCCAGTGGAAGAATATGTCTTCATCATTTAGCATGGCAAAAACAGGATCTGAGCTTCATAATCAATTCATTGCCTTCTTGTAGACAGTTCCCAAAAAGACTAACAAAGAATTGCCTGAGTCTTTGAGTCCACTGAAGTAACCAAAACAAAAAACCAACACAAAGCCAACAAAAGGTCAAGAAAACTCTCAAAAGAAATTTGCATTTCTCAGTTTTCATATTAATTAGTATCCAAAAGATATTGCCATTGTTCCCTTATTTAACTCACAACTAAATCAATAAAAAAATACCTGGCCAGTATATTTTGCAGATTTGCTTTCTAATTTTTTATCTTAATTATATATCTACATATTGTTATTTTCTTTGAAAATGCACAGGTAAATCATGGCATATTTCATTATCCAACTTTTTAAAAAGTTATAAGTTCTATTGGCTTTTATCTCATGTAAACATAGCTATTTTCATTGAAATAAGAACAAAAATTAGCCCTCATCACACTCAATATGTACATCCCTTGTGGCTCAGCTGGTAACGAATCTGCCTGCAATGCGAGAGACCTGGGTTCAGTCCCTGGGTTGTGAAGATCCCCTGGAGAAGGGAAAGACTACCCACTCCAGTATTCTGGCCTGTAGAATTCCATGGACTCTGTAATCCATGGGGTTGCAAAGAGTCAGACATGACTGAGCAACTTTCACACTTCACACTCAGTATAGCTATCATTCATGGGATTCTTAAACTTGTTAGATTTGTCATCATTTGACTTAAATATAACTCATTGAGAAAAGTATAGTTTTTGCCACATATTTTTTAGAATAAAAAATAAAGATGTAATAAAGTTTGATAAAGCAGAAAACAGGATTTAACAGTAGGATTAATTATTACTTTGAGTTAAGTATTCCATTAAAATTGAAAGTCATTTAAGTCAATAATTCATCTTAGGGAATCATTACAAGCTGTGACATGCAAAATTTATTATTATATTAATTTAACAAGGTTTTTAGTTTGGAAAGACAGAAAACAAATCCAGTTCTGAAAATGTATCATCAAAAATGTTATCAAAATGTAATTAAAACACTAACTCAAAAAGATATTTGTGCAGAGTTCTCTTTCACCTAGTGGTTAGGATTCTGGAGCTTCACTACCATGGCCCAGGTTCAATTCCTGGCCATAGAACTGAGATCCCACAAGCCATGTGGCAAGGCAAAAAGAGAAAGAAAAGAAAAAAAAAAGTAAACATATTTGCATTCCCAATTTCACTGCAGCATTATTTACCTTAGTCTAGGTGTAGAATTAATCTAAGAGACAACTGATGGGAAAATAGACAAAGAAAATGTGTTATTTATAAAATGAAATATCATTTACCTATGAAAGAAAGAAATCTTTCTACTTGCAACAACATAGAAGGACTTTGAAGGCATTATGCTAACTGAAATAAGACAAAGAAAGACAAATATTGTATAATCTCACTTGTATGTGGCATTAAAAAACCAAACTGTGGACTCACAGATAGAATAGATTGGTGGCTGCCAGATATGGGGGATTAAGGGTTGGGCAAAATGTATGACAGTGGTCAAAAGTTATAAGCTTCCAGTTATAAAATAAATATCATGGGATTTAACATACAGCATAGGGAATATGGTTAATAATACCATACTGCATATTTGAAAGTTATTAAGAGAGTATATCTTAATAGTTTTTATCACAGGAAAAAATTGCAGCTGTGTGGTTATGGATTTAACTAGATTTATTATGGTAATCATTTACAACATATACAAATATTGAATCATTATTTTGTACACCTGATACTAATATAATAATGTATGTCAACTATATCTCAATAAAAATGTTACTTATAAATCTCAAAACAAATGAAAACAAAGCAACAGTAACAAAACAAAATCCTCAGTAACATGGTTAAGTTATAGAAAGCGAACATGTTAAAGACCCAAGATCAAGATATGATCACATACAGAGGAGCTTGTATGGGGGTTGGGTTTATCATCTTCACAGTCACAGAGTGAACGAAGAAACAGCAGAAGACTGGCCAACTACTTCATATACCTGTTCCTATCTCAGGCATTCCATCACTGCACTTTCATTTTTGGAGTTATTCAAGGCACCAGGATTTTAAGAAGTTTTGTTAAAAGTGTTGCATATATATTTTCTGCTGTAATAATTTAAGTGTACAAAATTTTTTTCACAATGTTGCATTGGTATTTGCCATAATTTTTAAAAGCATATAAAATTTGGAAATCTAATCTTAATGAATAAGGAATACTTTATGAAAAATTATTTGCTGATCACCTGAGACAAAATAAGGGGATGGGATGCACAGAATTGGTAAAGAAAATTTAAAAGTAGAGATTTATGATAAAACTAGAGACAAATAGAAGGATAAAATAATGATTGGAAAAATAGATAAGAATACAAATTCTAGATGGCACAAACATGTAATGAGAATCAGTGTAGAATGAAATTTAAAGAGAAGTTGAATAAAAGAGTAATATATGGATTATGAAAATGAGTAGAGAAAGGATAAGTATAAAGCAAAGAGATAAAATCATCTGTATTTTAAGATATTTGGGTATTAAGCATTTTGGAAAAGTGGATAATGATATCAAGAGAATATTTTTTTCATGGTTTTCAAACTGCTCTTGAAAGTGAGTTAGTTCCCTTGGATAGTCCCTCAGTCCCTAAAATACATTTATGTTGATAAATCAAAAGGAAGCTATGTAAGCTGTTGCATAAAATCAAAATAGTTTTCTTGTATGTGTGTGTGTGTATATATATATATATATAAAATATATGGATATTATGTATAATCTCTGTCTATATATGCTGCTGCTAAGTCACTTCATTCGTGTCTAACTCTGTGTGACCCCATAGATGGCAGCGCATCAGGCTCCCCCGTCCCTGGGATTCTCCAGGCAAGAACACGAGTGGGTTGCCATTTCCTTCTCCAGTGCTTGAAAGTGAAAAGTGAAAGTGAAGTCGCCCAGTCATGTCCAACTGTTAGCGACCCCTTGGACCACAGCCTACCAGGCTCCTCCGTCCATGGGATTTCCCAGGCAAGAGTACTGGAGTAGAGTGCCATTGCCTTCTCCACATCTATCTATCTATCTATCTATATACAAATAGAAAATAAATTTGATATTGTTTTAAAGAATTTTATAGACTTAAAATTTTTATTTTTGATCATTGTTTATAATCTAGGTGGAATTAATACACAACAATCCAAAGAATGCTATGAAAATGAGAAAATGTTCAATGCAAAAACACCGTCAAATAAGAATGATGCAATATGCTTAGTAAGGAAGAATTCTATTCAGGGAATTTTTATTCTGTGACTTTGAAGACATTTTCTTCTCTCATTAAAAAAGAATGTGATGAGTTCAAGAACATTTTAACCAGGCAGTTATGTAATCTCAAACAATTTAATGAGTGTGTGCCTCTCCTTGTGTGAGCAAACAGATGAACAATTTGCCTTAGGTAAATGCATAATTTAAAAAGATACAAAGCAATGGCCTCATATATCACCACGTGTTGTGTCCGAGGTATATAAGCGTCCCTCCGCACGAGCTGACATCCACACTCAGGACCTGGTCTTGAACAGCAAACCGGACTCACGCCCTGACACCATGTGCCACTGCAGCAACTACTGCGGAGGCCTGAGCTGCGGCTACGGAGGCCTCGGCGGCCTGGGCTTCAGCCGTGGCTATGGATGCGGCAGCTTCCGCAGGCTGCGCTTTGGCTCTGGCTTTGGAGGCTACGGATGTGGCTCTGGTTTCGGAAGCTTTGGCTCTGGCTGCTATCACCGCCCACTCTTCTTTAGAAGATGTGGTTTCTCCAGCTTCTACTAAACTCTGGCTATAGTAACCCAACATCTGCTACTGGCTATAGTAACCCAACATCTGCTACCATGAGTGGATTCGACATAATGTTATTCAGTCGATGAACTGAAATTGGCCTAGGCCTATATAGCATGAAAAACTGAAGAATTTGAGAAAATGTATTATTTAGAAGCATGTCTCCCGGCATTTGTTAGCTTGGACACTAACAGATGACTTATGTTGATGACCAATAAATGACCTAATTGGAAATAAAAAAAATGGTTCCTTGTGGTTCATTTAACTCAGCTATGTGCACATAACTATATGAAATTTTGCTGTTAGTCAATTATAAATATAAGGATTATCTGTTAATTTTTTATGAAAATAAGTCATCTTAGATATACCTATTCATAATTGGTAGTCATCCATACTATTAAAATATATTAAAATATATATAAAATAATATATCCATATTTTAAAACATTTCTTTCTCTCAAAAGAAACATATATTTCTCACCTTCCAAAGATAATTGATATCCAAAAGATATTAATATTGTTCCATTATTTAACCCAGAATGAAATCAATTAAAAAAAAAACCTGGTTCAAATATTTCACAACATTGTCTCAAATTTTTTTGTTCTAATTATATATTTAAAATACACGAACAAATCATGCCATATTTCTTTATTCAGTTTTCAAAAGTTTGTAAAATCTATTGAATTTTTATCTCATGTGAACATAGCTATATTCATTGGAAATAACAAAAATTAGCCCTCATTACACTTAATCTAGCAGACTACTTAATCATTCATGGAATGATTCTTAAACTTGTTAGATTTATTTGTCATCATTTGACTTCAAAATTACTCCTTGAGAAAACTACAGTTTTTGCCATCAATTTGTGTTTTTTTCTAAAAAATAATAAAAATAAATTCGATAAAGGGGAAAACAGGATTTAACAATAGGGTCAATAAGTACTTTGAGTTAAATATGCCTTCAAATCCCAAAGGCCATTTGAATAAATAATTTATCTTAGGGAATCATTGCACGTTGTAGCATGCACAGTTTATTATTTTATTAATTTAACAAATATTTTTATTTGGAATGACAGTAAACAAATACAGTTAGGTAAAAGTATTATCAAAAATGTTATTGAAACACTAACTCAAAGAAAAATTTGAGGGAGTTCCCTGGTGATCTACTGGTTAGGATTCTGGAGTTTCACTGCCATGGACCAGGATCAATTCCCGGTCAGAGAACTGAGATCTCACAGCCAAATACGTTGTTTTTGTTCAGTTGCTCAGTTCTGTCTGACTCTTTGTGACCTCATGGACTTCAGTGCATGCCAGGCTTCCCTGTCCATCGCCATTTCCCAGAGTTAGCTCAAACTCATGTCCATTGAGTTGGTGATACCATCCAAACACCTCATCCTCTGCGCTAATCTCCTCCTACCTTCAATCTTGCCCTGATCAAGTTTTATTTTAATGACTCAGCTCTTCTCATCAGGTGTCCAAAGTATTGGAGCTTCAGTTTCAGCATCAGTCCTTTCAGTAAAAATTCAACACTGATTTCCTTAAAGACTGAATGATTTGATCTTCTTGCAGTCCAAGAGTCTCTCAAGAGCCTTCTTCAGCACTACAGTTGAAAAGCATCAATTCTTTAATGCTCAGCCTTCTTTATGGTCCAATAATCACATCCATACATGACCACTAGAAAAACCATAGCTTTGACTAGATGGACCTTTGTTGGCAAAATAACATCTGTACTTTTTAACATGCTGTCTAGGTTTATCTAGGGCTTCCTTGATCACTCAGATGGTAAAGAATCCAACTACAATGTGGGAGACCTGGGTTTAATCCCTGGGTTGGGAAGATCCCCTGGAGAAGGGCATGGCATTCCCTCCAGTATTCTGGCCTCTACAATCCCCATGGAAGAGGAGCCTGGGGGCTACAGTCCATGGGGTCGCAAAGAGTCAGACACAACTGAGCAACTAAGCACATGACAGCAACAGGTTTGCCATCGCTTTTCTTCCAAGGAGCAAGCATCTTTTAATTTCATGGCTGCAGTCACTATCTGCAGTGATTTTTGGAGCCCAAGAAAACAAAGTTTCTCACTGTTTCCATTGTCTCCCCATCTATATGCCATGAAGTGATGGGACTGGATGTCATGATCTTCATTTTATGAATGATGAGTTTTAAGCCAGCTTTTTCATGCTCATCTTTCACCTTCACCCAGTGGTTCTTTGGTTCCTCTTCACTTTCTGCCATAAGGGTGGTGTCATCCGCATATCTGAGGTTATTGATATTTCCCCCGGCAATCTTGATTCCAGCTTATGCTCCGCTCCTAATTTTGAACCAGTACATTGTTCCATGACAGGTTCTAACTCTTGCTTTTTGACCTTCAGACAGGTTTTGCAGGAGGCAGGCAAGGTGGTCTGGTATCCCCTGCTCTTTAAGAATTTTCCACAGCTTGCTACAAGCCATATGACAGGGTTAAAAGAAAGAAAGAAAGAAGGAAAAACATTTGCACCCCCATGTTCATTGCAACATTATTTACAATACCCCAGGTGTGGAATCAACCTAAGAGACAATCAATGGAATGATGGACAAAGAAAATGTGTGAAATATTATTCAGCCATAAAAAGAAAGGAATGTTTGTACTTGCAGCAACATAGAAGGCCTTTCTAGGCATTATGTTAAGTGAAATGAGACAAAGAAAGACAAATATTGTGTGATCTCACTTATACACTGGATCAAAAAAATAAAAATCTGAACTCATGGATGTAATAGATCGGTGGCTACCAGAGACAGGGGCTGACGGTTGGGCAAAATGGGTGAGAATGGTCAAAAGTTATAAACTTTAAGTTATAAAATAAATATCATAGGGATATAATGTACAACACAGGGAATATGGTTAAAAACACCATACTGTAATTTGACAGTTATTAAGAGAGTAATGTTAGTAGTTTTATCACAGAAAAAAATTATAACTGTGTGGTGATAAACTTAACTAGACTTATTATGATGCTCATTTTTCAATGTATACAAATACTGAATCACTATGTTTTATACCTGAAACTAATATAATAATATATATCAGTTATATCTCAATAGAAATGTTATTCACAAACCTCAAGACAAATCAAAACAAAGCAACAGTAGCAAACCATGACAAAAAAAAAACCTCAGTAACATGCTTAAGCCATGGAAAGTGAACATGTTCTTCAAGATGTGAGTCCAAGATATGGTCATTTTCAGAGGAACTTGAATGCGGGCTGGGTTTACCATCTTCATGGCTGACTTTATTTTTTTGGGCTCCAAAACCACAGCAGATGATGACTGCAGCCATGAAATTAAAAGATGCTTACTCCTTGGAAGGAAAGTTTTGACCAACTTAGACAGCATATTAAAAAGCAGAGACATTACTTTGTCAACAAAGGTTCATCTAGTCAAGGCTATGGTTTTTCCAGTAGTCATGTATGAATGTGAGAGTTGGACTATAAAGAAAGCTGAGCGCCAAAAAATTGTTGCTTTTGAACTCTGGTGTTAGAAAAGACTCTTTAGAGTCCCTTGGACTGCAAGGACATCCAACCAGTCCATCCTAAAGGAAATCAGTCCTGGGTGTTCACTGGAAGGACTGATGGTGAAGCTGAAACTCCAATACTTTGGCCACCTGATAGGAAGAGTGACTCATTTGAAAAGACCCTGATGTTGGGAAAGATAGAGGGCAGGAGGAGAAGGGGACGACAGAGGATGAGATGGTTGGATGGCACCATCGACTCAATGGACATGAGTTTGTGTAAACTCTGGGAGTTGGGGATGGACAGGGAAGCCTGGCATGCAGCAGTTCATGGGGTCGCAAAGAGTCAGACACGACTGAGCAACTGAACTGAACTTACCATCTTCATGGAGTGAACCAAGAAAGAGCAGATGACTAAACATACTTCATATATCTATTCTTGTCTCAGTAATTTCATCACTGCATATTCAGTTCTGGAAATATTCAAGGCATTGGGATTTTAAGAAGCTCTGTTAAAAATATTATATAATTTTTCTATTTTTTATTTAATTAAAAAATACAGTGTATTGGTTTCTTCATAATTTTTAAAACATATAAATCTTTTTTTTTGAAAAAAATCTAAAACCTTAATGAATAAGTAATATATTATGAAAAAACATTTGCTAATTACCTGACAGGGGCTGGGACACCCGGAATAAAGATAACTTAAAAGCATAAGTATTATGCTAGAACTAGAGACCCAAATAGAGGGATAAAATATTAATTGGAAAAAAAAAGATAAGAACAAACAATTTAGATTGTCAAAGCATGTAGTGAGAATGACTTCAGAATGAGATTTAAAGAGAGGTTGAATAAGAGCAACATATGGATTATGAAGAAGATTAGAGAAGAGAAGAAAAATGGTAACTGTAAAGTATAGAATGAAGATTATCTGCATTTTGTTCTTCCCTCTTAGGGTCTGAGATTTAACCCTTTTGGACTGTGAGTCAAGTATAACTCTCAGCTGGCGCTTTGCTGTTCATACAGACCTCATCTCCTTCATTTCTATTTGCTCCAGTGACGTCCAGCATGGGCCCCTTCTCACTCAGGATCTCCATGCTCCCCTGCACCATGTCCCAGTTGGTTTCTTCGGCTCATATGTCCACAGCTTCTGGCATTCCAACTGTCTCATCTGAAAGATGGATTCCACCCCTCTCACAGCTTCTGTCAGAATTGACAGTTGAAAACAAACCAACAAAACAAAACAAAAGCAAACTAAAATTGAAACTAGTGTCTGCCCTCAGAGACCTCAATCCCAACCGATCAATCAGTCTAAAGCCTCTTTCTCATGTAAGGATTATTATTACTTTTTTTTCCCCCAAACCCTTGGGTCCAGGGCTGACATTCAATAGATGCCAGTAAGGGAAGTGTTAGTTGCTTAGTCCTGTCCAACTCTTTGTGACCCCATGGACTGTAGCCCGCCAGGCTCCTCTGTCCATGGAATCTCTAGGCAAGAATACTGCAGTGGATT